CTGTTGACAGGGCGGGGCGCCCAGCTTGTAAAATGGTAGGGGAAACACTGGTCGGGTTCACCTTGATGCACAGCTTGGGCTCGGGAACCAATTTTGAGAAGGGCTGGACCTTATTCTACTCTGGAGTTGCCCATGGTAAGCAGCGCCAAGCTGGTGTAGATCTACTCTTAGACCCCCGACTTGGTGCCTCTGTGTTGGCGTTTTCTCCGGTAAATGAGAGGGTAGCTTCCCTGCCCCTATGGGTGGGGGGACGGGCTCCGACAGTTGTTTGTGCCTACGTGACATACAGCAGTTAAGAGTATCCGGCCTTCTTGGAGTCCTTGGCTGGGGCGCTGGAAGGTGTGCTAGCTGGGGACTCCTTTATTTTTCTGGGGGACTTCAATGCCCACGTGGGTAATGACAGTGTGACCTGGAGATGTGTGATTGGGTGGAATGGGTTCTCTTATCTGAACCCGAGTGGTGTTCTGTTGTTGGACTTCTGTGCTATTCATAGTTTGTCCTTCACTAGGGGGTGTAACGGTACGCTAAAATCACATTTCGGTTCGGTTCAATTTCAAGGAGGGCTCGGTTCGGTTAATTTTCGGTACAAAAAAAGACTAAATGAAGACTTACAAAACGTTTATTTTGAAAATATGCCAAGTAAACAATACATTTGTATAAAAATAAATAAAAGCAACCCATTTGGTTGATATTTTAAATAAACGGCACTCTTTACAATAAACAAACTATACTAACAATAATGAAAATATTAATAAATACAATAACAGTCAGAACAAGAACAATAAGCTGCAACAGACTGTTTACAATGTAACTAATCAAATTTAAAGTTTTTGGCCAAAAAGACTAACTTGTCCACATTTTCTGCCAAAAGCACAAATCTAGTTGCAGTGAATATCTCCATCAGTGGAGAAAACTGCTCATTAGCAACAGTAGCGGGAATAAAGAGGTAGAGCGTTGCTAATTTTGCAGTGTGGCTGTATTTGGCCTCATCATTACTCACAACCTCTTGGACCTGCTCCCACAGGTGGGACAGGTCCCTGGAAAAGTTCATAGTTCAGTCATCACAGACTTCTTAGCTGGAGGTGATCTCTGGTGGATTTCCCTGAAGAGGAAGACTCAGCTGCTATCTCTGTCCCAGACTGGAAATAAAACGCAAATAGATTAAAAAATGAGTTAATAAGATTATCATTTTAAATTTAAAAACGTTAATTAGATAATAATAATAAAAGAACAATACCTTTTCTTGAACGGGTGTTATGAGGTATTTGAATCTCTTGGTCATCATTATCAGGGCAGGGCTTTATCTGGTCCAGGGCTTGTTGACAATATCAGTTTTAGCTTTTTCATAAAGTGCTGCTACAATTTTTTGGCTGGAGGGTTGACGTGATGGGATGTCGTAGTGGGGCTCAATAACTTTAAAGCCGGCGCATCAACAACAGAAACGTAGATCCAGAGCTTTAAAATCTCCTACAGCTTGTGTTATTGTTTTGGATCGATCTGAATTACCTGATAAAGGTTGTTTAAATGCTGCTGTTATTGGTCTTTGCAACAAGCTGCTTTTCTTGCTTGTAGAAGAGACGTTCACGTTCAGATGATGTCGTTTCAAGCGCGTTAATAAGTTAGACGTGTTGCCTGCTGTAGATCCAATCTCCATGAAACAACGTCGACACACATCTTTGGATTTACACTTGTCTTTTAACAAGAAAGCCATAATGTTCCCAAACAGAAGACCGCAACGAGATGCTAGGCTGCTAATGCTAGCATGCTGCAAGATAATAGTGCCGTGCTGAAATACGCTTAGAAATTTTTGTTCCGTGGCGCATGATCTCTCGCTAATAAAATTGAATGAGTGAAAAAATAACCAAAATGGTACGCACGTGGACCGAACCGAACGTGCCGTATCGAAACAGTTCGGTACACCCACGTATACCGTTGCACCACTATTCATCACAAACACCACGTTCAAACATAAGGGTGTCCATAAGTGCACTTGGCACCATGACACCCTAGGTTGTAGATCAATGAACGACTATGTAGTTGTGTCTTCAGATTTGCAGCCATTTGTTTTGGATACTCGGGTGAAGAGAGGAGCTGAGCTGTCAACTGATCACCACCTGGTAATTATTTGGATCAGATAGCGGGGGAAGATGCTAGACAGACCCGGTAGACCCAAACATATAGTGAGGGTTTGCTGGGTATGTCTGGCAGAAGAACCTTTCAGAAATATCTTCAACTCACACCTCCAGGGTAGCTTTAATTGCATCCCAGCTGAGGCAGGAGACATCGAGTCTGAGTGGGCCATGTTCTGCGCCTCAATTGTTGAAGTGGCTGACTTGAGCTGTGGTTGCAAGGTTGTCAGTGCTTCTCGTGGTGTCCATCCTCAAACTCTGTGGTGGACACCCCAGGTTAGGGAGGCTGTCAAGCTGAAGAAGGAGTCCTATCAGTCCTTGTTAGCTGGTGGGACTCCGGAGACAGCTGAGGAGTACCGGAGGTCCAAGTGGTCCGCAGCCTTGGCTGTTGCTGAGGTAAAAGCTTAGATGTGGGAGAAGTTTGGGGAGGCCTTGGATAGAGGCACTCTGTCAGCTCTGAGGAGATTCTGGCAAACCATCAGGCTGTTGAGGAGGGGAAAGCAGCTCTTTACTAACACTGTGTTCAGTGAAGGTAGGGTGCTGTTGACCTCAAACACTGATGTCATTGGGAGGTGGAAGAAATACTTCTCGGACCTTCTCAATCTCACCGGCATATCTGCCAGGGAGAAAGCTGGGTCTTCGAAGTTGGTTTGTCCATAACCGTGGCTGACATCGCCGAGGTAGTTAAAAAGCTCCACGGTGGTAGGGCTCCAGGGATGGATGAGATTCACCCCGATTTCCTTAAGGCTCTGGATGTTGTGGGGCTGTCTTGGTTGATACACCTTTGCAACATCACATAGACATTGGGGCAATGCCACTGGATTGGCAGACAGGGGTGGTGGTTCCCTTCTTCAAACAGGGGGACTAGAGGGTGTGCTCCAATTATAGGGGCATTACTCTCTTTAGCCTCCCTGGTAAGGTCTATTCAGGGGTACTGGAGAAACGAGTTTGATTGATGGTCAAACCTCAGATCCAGGAGGTTTTCTGGTTTGGTGGCCTCACGATTCCATCTCTGCCCTTTGCGGATTATGTGGTCCTGTTGGCTTAATCATGTCGTGATCTCCAGCTCACTGTAGCAGTTTGCAGCCGAGTGTGAAGTGGCTGGGATGAGAATCAGCACCTCCAAAATCTAAGGCCATGGTCCTCAGTCGGAAAAGGGTGGATTGCTCTCTTAGGGCCGAGGGTGAGGGTCTGCCACAAGTGGAGGAGTTCCAAGTATCTCGGGTTTTGGTCACAAGTGAGGGAAGAATGGAGCCTGAGATTGACAGACAGATTGGTGCAGTGTCTGCAGTATTGTGGACTGTGCCAGTCCACTGTGGTGAAGAGGAAGCTGAGCTGTAAGGCAAAACTCTCTGTTTCCCAGCCTGTCTGTGGTCCTACCCTCACCATTATACAAACGGGGTGTCCTTCCCCATCCCATCAACAGAATCGAGCGCCCCATCTAACCCCACTTTAAAACTGTTGATATAAACAGTGTGCTGTGCAGCTCAGGACGTGTCTCCATCTGTTTCTCTCTCTCTACTACTTCCCCACCCCCAGACAAAAATCACAGATGAAATCAGCGCCCCGCCATGGCAAGTTATCTAGGGTAATAAAAATAATAATAATAATGTGTTATGTATTGTCATCATAGTATGTTCCCATACAATGGAGAAATTGGCTCTCTGCTTTTAACCCATTCACCACCAGGTAGAGCAGTGAGCTGCTATGAAAAGCACCCGGGGAGCAACTGGGGATGAGGTGTCCTGCTCAGAGACACCAGGAGATGTGCAATGACCGGGGATTGAACCCAGTGCCTTCTGGTCCCAAGTCGGCTGCCCTGCCCCTACACCATCTCGGCCCCAAACACTGAGGTGTCTGTGGAAAGAGACTTCTGGGCCTCCTTGATCAAGCTGCTGCCCCCGCAACCCAACTTGGAATAAGCAGACAATAATGGATGTATGGATAGATGGATGGAAGTTTTCTTACAGTCACTTTCATCAATATTTTCTTTTGTTTGTCCAGATCTCCCACAGCATCCCACCTGGAAGGAGGAAGAGGCTCTCACTGACCAATGGCTCTGTAGCCAGGAGAGGAACTCCATTTTGGACCAAGAGGAACCAGAACTTCCACAGATAAAAGAGGAACAAGATGATCTTGAAATTCCACAGATTAAAGAAGAACAGAAGGATCCAGATCCTCCACAGGAAAACCCAAAAGCACTAGAGATGAAAGAGGAGCACGAGACTGAATCCTTTATGGTAACTCCTTTTTATAAGGAAAGAAACCACAGGGAACTGGAACCAAACATAGACCAATGGTTCTCTCTAAACTCGCCTGAAGCTGAGAACCAAGTTCAGGAAGGAAGCAGAAAAACAGACTCAGGATTCAACAGAGATAAAGAGCTGAAACAAAATAAGAGAAGTTCACAAACCAGAGATGATGGCGACAATGTAGACCATCCAAAAGTAAAAAGGCACCCCAAAAAGCGTTTCATGTGTTTGACTTGTGGGAGAAAATTCTGTGAGAAATATTATTTAACTACTCACATGAGAACTCACACAGGTGAGAGGCCTTTCTTATGTCAGATCTGTGGGAAAAAATTTTTCGTAAAAGAAACGTTGAAGGTACACATGAACATACACACAGGTGAGAGGTCTTTCTCATGTCAGACCTGTGGAAAAAGTTTTACTCGAAAAGATACTTTAAATGTACACATGAAATCTCACACAGGTGAGAGGCCTTTCTCATGTCAGATCTGTGGAAAAAGTTACCATGAAAATAGCAGCTTTAAATACCACATGAAAACTCACACAGGTGAGAAACCTTTCTCATGTCAGACCTGTGGAAAAAGTTTTATTTGTAAAAGTACTTTGAATATTCACATGAAAACGCACACAGGTGAGAGGCCTTTTTTATGTCGAACTTGTGGGAAAAGTTTTGTTTACGAACGTGTTTTAGATGCTCACATGAGAACTCACGCAGTTGTGAGGCCTTTCTTATGTCAGACCTGTGGAAAAAGTTTTATTCGTAGAACCACTTTGAATGATCACGTTAAAACGCACACAGATAAGAAACCTTTTTTATGTCATACCTGTGGGAAAAGTTTTGTTTACCAAAGTATTTTAGATGTTCACATGAGAACACACACGGGTGCAAGGCCTTTCTCATGTCAGACATGTGGAAAAACTTTTATTCATAAATGTAATTTAAACAGCCACATGAAAACTCACAGGGATTTTAAAGTGTAATTTTATAATTTTCTCAGATATTTAAGTTTGATAAACTTACCTTCGTGTCACTTCACATAAAGGGCATTTATTTCTCCCCCCGTGGTGGTCAGACACTTTAACTGCACAAACAATTAATAAAATCAAGAATGACCAACAAAGTCCATGCTCAGTAATCCAGGTATACAATCCAACAATTTTCAGTCAGGTTATCTGGACAGGTTTTTTATTTTTCTGAAACGTTTCACCTTCCATCCAGAAGGCTTCATCAGTCAAGGAAACACACAACACAAAACTGATTCTTCCTCCAACAGCTTACCCCAAAGTGGAACAAATCAGTTTTGTTGGTGCTAAGACGGTGTCTTTGGCACGCCTCCTCCTCCAGTGCCGGCTCTCTTCCTCGTCAACAGTCATTTCAAACTGGTTCAAAACCAACAAAGTCCATGCTCAATAATCCAGGTATACAATCCAACAATTTTCAGTCAGGTCATCTGGACAGTTTCATTTTTTTTTTTTAGAAGAATAAACACAAATACTACATCTGCTTTATGCTTAAATAAAAGTTTAGGCATTTTCAATGTATTTCTGTTCTGTATAACTTTACAATTGTTAACTGTAAATGGCTGTTTAACCAGCCACTAGGGAGCACAAGCCAGTGTGTAGCTTGTGCTGGTCCCAAGCCCAGGTAAATGGTGAGGGTTGTGTCAGGAAGGCCATCCGATGTAAAACACTTTTGCCAAAACTATAATTGGAGTTGATCAAAGCGGAAACATAACAGATCGGTTGTGGCTCGGGTTAACAATGTCGAGCTAAAACAGTTGCTAAGGCTTTCCAGCTTGTGCAATCTGCATTTGACATCATCAGTCAGATTTGTTCCACCTCAAACTTGTCTTAAATGCCAATAAAACCAAAGGGATGCTTTTTTCAAACAGGAAGTCAGTCCCAGCAGTTCTTCCTCCGATTTTATCCTCAAATGGTGTCCCAATTGAGTTTGTTGATTCCTATAAATATTTGGGTATCTTGGTCGACTCGCATCTCTCTTTTAAGCTCCACGTGGAAAACTTGGTAAAGAAACAGAAAGTTAAACTGGGTTTCTCTTTCAGAAACAGATCCCGTCTAACTTTGAATGCTAGGAAACACCTTGTAACTGTGACTTTCCTTCCCTCCATTGATTACGGTGACATTATTTACATGAACGCTCCTACAAGAACCCTGCAGATGTTGGATGCTGTCTATCATGGTGCACTAAGATTCATAACTGGCTGTGATTGTCGTACCCACCACTGCACCCTGTATTCACTGGTTAACTGGACATCATTAACTTCATGCAGACTCTCCCACTGGTACATTTTCATCTTTAAATCACTTTTGGTCTGCTGCCTTCATACTCCTACATGTCTCTGCTTGAGCGCAATTACAGCGTGCGCTCTCAGGACATTATTACCTGCAGTGTTCCCTCAGTGCAGACTGAACTTGGCAAAAGGGCCTTCTCCTACTCCGCTCCTGTTTCCTGGAATATCTTCCAAAAAGATATGAAGCTCTCAACCTTGACCTCTCTAAGTGGCTTTAAGAATCTGTTGGACTCCTGGCAAGGACCAATGCAGACATGTTCCTGTTTTTACTTTTCTACATTCGCCTTAGAATCTAGCTGTTTTTGCTACTTTTTTTGCCATCTTATTTTAATTTGTAAAAAAAAAAAAAAATCTATATGCCTTTTTATAATTGTCTATTGTTGTCGCTGTTGTCCATTGTTGTCATCATTCTTTGTTGAAATCAGGTCTCTCTTGTAAATGAGTCCTCAAGGCTCAATGGGATTAACCTGTCTAAATAAAGGCTGAATGAATGAAAAGAAAACAACAACCATCACCGGTGCTGTTGACAAACAGGCTCCGGCAGAAATTATGCTGTTGTTAGTCGAAGAAAACGAGGAGGGAACTATGTCTGGAGGCAGAGGAAGAAGAGGAAAGTCAAGAATATAGAACTGAGGATTGAATCTCTAAATGTGGGGACAAAGTCAGGGAAAGGTAGAAAGCTGGCTGACAAGATGCAGAGAAGGAAGGTAGATGTTTTATGTGTCCAAGAGACCAAGTGGAAGGGCAGCAAGGCTTGCAGCATTGGGGCATGATTTAAGATATTTTACCATGGTGTGAATAGAAAGAGAAATGGATTAAGGGTGATCCTGAAGGAGGAGTTGGCAAATAATGTAGTAGAGGTGAAAAGAGTGTCAGATAGGGTGATGTGTGTGAAGGTAGATGTAGAAGGTCTGATTCTAAGTGTTGTCAGTGGTTATGCTCCACATGTTCATCTATCATGTGGAGGAGTAAGATACATTTTGGAATGATCTGGATGAAGTGATGGAGAGCATTGTAAAATAATATTCCCTGACGCTCCTCCCCAATGCGTAAGATGCGTCAAAAGTGGACCAATAACAAGCAAGCATTCAAGATGGACGTTTGCCAGAACAAATTGGAACATTTTTCATCGGTGCTGTCAAAATCATCATAGTCATTGATTAAATTCTGACACTGTCCATTCACAAAAACTTAAAACATCCTTCGGGGCCCCCGAAATGCTGGGGCCCCGGGCTGCAGCCTCTGTAAGCCCCTGCTAAAATCCGGCCCAGGCACGTCATTTTGCAGGTGAGTAAAATCACCCATCGTCAAACAGTCCCTCAAAGCAGCAATGACTAATATCTGCTGGCTTCATAAACTCAACTGAATCAAACGCATGAAAGAAAGCGGACACAGAAAGTCAAAATCAGTCACGTCCAGTTAAGGTAAGCTCCAGTTCTGGTACCATAGATTGGAAAAGGTGGGAAATGGACTGACCTGAAGTAGGTACAGAGGGAGAAGAGTTCATATCTGGACACTGGAACAGAATATTTGAGGTTCGCAGGCCGAGTTTTCTCCAGGTTATTCTGAATAAGTTAGCAAGAAAAGAAGAATGACTCCATTACAATCAAACAAGTTCACTTTGTTTAGTGATATACATTTGAACAAGTGATGTCTCCTTTGTTTTCTTTCTGCTTCAGCTTGCCACCTTTTATATCAAGTCTCTTGGTTTTTATTTACTCAGTGTTTAGTTTGAGGTTTTTGGTGTGCTCCCTGTCCTTGTTCTGCACATGCTCAGGATCAGTTCACTTAATAGAACTCTTGTCAGATGTTCAGACACCATCTCATTTGTTCAGTTTGTTCATTCTGATAGTCGGTCCTTATCTGTTCTGCACAGTAGAAAATGTCCTGTCTGCAAGTTTTCACCATCATCAGGCTCTTAACAGTTCTGACCTGAGTAAATCCAGGCAAAAACATGTTAAATGTTCAAACGTTCCTCTTTTGTTTTCTCTTGAATTTGTATATTTAACACAATACCATCTTAATGAGGTCATTTGTCACCCCATGAAAATCCACCCTTTAATCTTAAGATTGTTTAATCTTAGTTTTTATGCCATTTTTAAATAAAAAAAATCTTATCAATTTAAGGTAATTTAACAGTAAACCAGATGTTTAAAAAAAAACTTTGCTTTTCATCATTGTTCAATTTGTGATCGTCCTCTTTACTTTTTTATGTCCAACAATAAATCCAGATGTTAACCTACCAGACTCAGAGCTCCCCCATCTTGTAGCGTTGTGTCTTGTCCAAATACTCCTCCAACTAACAGTTTCCATCAAGAGAAAGTTTATTTTTTTGAGCATTCAGTTACGTTTTCATCAAAATAAGTCAATAAAAGTGTATTTTCTTAATGTATAGGGTTTTTTTCTTGGAGGGGGGTAGGCATGGTTGTACATGTACGGTACTACCTCATACTACCTCATACTGCATTATTAAGTGTTTAGCGTATTCTTAGTTTAGCATATTTTTTAGTTCTTATCTTAGAACTTACTACTGATTTTCTTTTACAATTTACTTTTGTTGGATGTAACTGGGACCCTGTGTACACAATTTAGTTCCACCACATGTACCACATGAGATGCGAATGACAATGAAGAAAACCTTGACCTTTGATAGAGGCTTTTTGAGACCAAGAATTAATAAAATAAAGTATTTCAGAAGCTGTAGTAACAAAAATTAGACTCTGCCCCATAATGGAGCAGCTCTATCCTCCAGCTGATTCCAGCACTTACCTTTAACAGAGCATGACACAAGCACACATGTTGCCACAGCGATCCAAAGCCCCTCCATAGTAGTTCACATGGACCACTCAAAGGTAC